CTCCCACTTCCCTCCCTCAGCTTCACACACCTGATCCTTAAATAAAATCTCTGGACTCTGGGAGAACTCAAGTTAATTCCAGTCTGCTCTCCAATTCTGGTAATCAAGTCTCTTAAAGCAAGCTGCCACCTCCCTGGGACAAACGAAGAGCTCAAACTCCTGTACACTACTCCAGACAAGGGTCTCCTGTAATTTTTATCCACTGCACCACACTGGGTCATATAAATGAAGAAAACAAAAATAATAATTTATGTAATTCTCCAGCCAGAGTCTGATTATGATTTGGATGAAGCACTGAGAAATAGTGGGCTGTTCAGAGGCTATATTTAGCTGAATGGGATCAAATCAAAGCAAAGCAGAGAATGTGAAAAGGAGCAAAAAGCTCCAGGGATTCAGTTCATTACCAGTCGCTGGACTCCAGTCCCAAACACAGCATGTCCATATTTAAATGGCTAATATCACAGACTGATAATTGTCTGGCAACACCTATTTTCTTTAGGGGGTTGACACAGCCTGATGAGTCTGCCAAACTGTTTGAAAATCCCTCATGCAGGGAGTGAAAGCCATATTCCAGTGCATGGGGTCCCAGGAGGGTTGTGTTAAAGCTGATAAAAGCAAAATGAGAAAAAAGAAAAGGTAAATGAGGAGGCAATGTTTTGTTTGTGGGGCTTTTCCTAGTCCTCATGGAGAATGTACAACAAAGTTAGCAGTATGTGCTATTTCTAGCCTGTAGTTTATGAATAGCGCTTTATTTCCTGCTCCTAAGTCTCCTTCATTTTGCAGTCTGCGTGCTAAAGCATCAGCAACCTTGTTCCCTTTTCACTCTGTGTGCAGACTCGGAGAAGGAGATGCAATACCAAGGCTGTCAAGCAAACACAAAATTCACACAAATGATGCAAGTCACTGCTTTGGTGTCAGGCTGGTGCTTGCTCTTGCTGATGGCCAGGCAGGCTGTCAGATTAGGTTGGCCTACCTTCCATGTCCCATGCAGGCTGTGCAGGAGGGGGTGCCCGCAGGCTGCCTGGTTTCCACCTCATCCAGAAGGCTGGCGCCGAATGCCCGAAAATTCACGCACATAAGTACGTGATTATAGAAATGCTGGATCGCATGTGAGGGGAATTCTGCTAGTTCGTTTCTCAGAATTTATATTTTGCCTGCCTTTGTGTAAGATTTCAAAAGCGGTTTGGCTGAATACATGGGGTTTTTTGTTTGTTTTCTCATTGCGTTGATTTTCTTTTCCAAGAGCTATTTTTTCTTTCAATAAATAACAACAAAGACGACAGCCAAGGCCTACAATGCAGATGATCAGCAAGGATGATATTGTCATCCTGTGTCAATCGGTTCCCGAGCCTGGTGAAATAAAGAGTCCCTTTGGAACATCAGCACTTCATCAAGACCAATTAGTGGAGATGCCGCTGCTTATGTTTAAGCATTAACGACTGGGCAGGGCTGCTTTTTGGAGTGCCTGACACTGGCATGGAACAAGGCACCGACCTAATTACTCCTCTACAAGAGCAGAAAATGCCTCGTGAATGCCTGCTTGGCAAGGATGTCTCATTAAGGGGAAAAAAACCCAACAGAAGCACTCCTAGAAACAAAAATTTAAATGATAGGTAACCTGCGGCCATAAGACTTACTTACTTCATGGCTGTGGGAAATGAAGAGAAACTGCCATAAGGTGATGTAGGACATATTTGTATTTTATTTCCTAAATCCGTTCTATTTTTTGGTCAACGAGGAGTATGAGAGACAGAATGCAAACTCGCACAGTTGGAGAACAGTGAAATACCTCGCCATCCTTGGTATCGATGTTAACTAGGACTTGAAGGGCATTCCTATGCTAGTGTTCAATGGGAGTTGTTTTGTTAGTGTGTTCCTTCAGAGTTTGCAAACTTATCTAGGAAAAGAAGCATTTGGTAGACCTGAGTGAAGAGTTGGTAATGAGGAGCTTACAGCATGTAGCCTCTCTTCTGCTTAAATATGATCAAGAAGCAGATTCTGGTTTCCCAGTTCAAGTGTGTTGGTTAGAGTATTTTCAGTCATAATAGTTTTGTTAAAATAAAACCAGAAGAGTTAGGGGAAACAGTTGCTCAGATGTTTTTTGTCTCCTGAGCAGCTCTGTTCATTGCTGAGTTCTAGTTGCTTCTATCTTTTCTACCTTTATTTTTTTTCTCCTCTGAAGAGTGCCAGCAAATATCAGAAATTCAGTGTGTTGCTTAATTGTGATTTATGAGATAAATCACATGTTATTACTTCTTTTCTTTGACTGGATGAGTGCACACTCCTAAATACTGAAGTCCATTATTCATCCAGGGAGTGGGTGCAGCACAGATACTTACATGTCAGGCTTTGCCCAGAAGGCACATTTTGGGCAAGCTAGCTCTGAAAAAGCATTTGCTCGGTGGTGCAAGAACAGTTAAGCTTTCTAGGTAAAGAAGGATCTAGTGTTTGTGCAGATGTTGTCTTTCTTGAGATATGTCCTTTTTTTGGTAGTTACCAATGTTGTCTAGCTGGTTTATGGGTTGAATGCAGCCCTCAGGATGATTATATAGCCACCAAATGATCTTGACCTGTGTGGTTTTTTTGCTCAAGTCTGGCCCTTTACCTTACTCATTTCTGCTTTTCCTATCTTACTGCACAGAATGACAGACAGAAATGCGATGTTCAGCAGCTGCACAGAAGAGTACCTACTACCTGCTAAGGTGTAGGTGGCCTGTAGCAGCACTTATTAAATGCTGAAAGATGCTTAAATGCTACAGCCTGAGTCTCTGAGCCTGCCTCTCTCCAAATAGATCCTTTCGTCTCAAAAACTGTGATACAGCTTTTTCCCTTCTTTGAGTTCAACGGACAGCCCACTCCCACAGCAGGTCCAGCAGGTCCTAAATGCAACTATTTCAAACCTCACTTGCTTTAAAAGGCTAATGAGCACAAGGCTTTTTTTTTTTTTTTTTAACTGTTACCAAGGCTCTATCAGATAGCAATGCTGCAGATGCAGGTTTATGGGGAGGGAGGCCATGAGGGGCTGTGATTTCCTGGGGCATCACTTGCTTCCCTTGCCTGTGGTGCGGCTGCACATCCTCTGCTCATGTGATCACTACGTGCTTGGCCTGGGGAGATTTGTGGGTCTTAGGCAGTCTTTCTGTGGCTCTCTTCCTTGCTGATCTCTGAATAAATTGAATTTGCCCCATAGAAAGTAGTCAAAATGATGTTTAGAACGTGTGCCAACTTGCTGTGAGACCTTCTCATGTAGCTGTGAAGTCTAGCAGCTTTAAGGGTAGTGCATTACAAACTTTGCTTTGGTTAAACTCTTGCTTCTATTGCTATTCTGATGAAATAATGCTTGTTCAAGGTAGTCAGGTTTCTCAGGGAGAAATGGAGGATCCAGTATCTCCAATATACTTTCTTTTCAAGTTGCAGCAGTAATCCCATCAGTTAACAATTCAGCTGTCAACTCAGCTTCTTATTGTATCTGATTCACCAGGATACCCTATAATGTAATGTAGAGTAGAAGTGCACCAAAAATCAGTTATTTATTCAGTTTTTACATTTTTCATTCAGCATTAACTTCTACTAACTTCAAATAGAGTGTAGCTTCAGAAGGAAATAAATAAAATATGAAAGACTTCAGAATTTGGCCCTGTGTGTTTCCTTCAGAGCAACACTTGTGAACATAATCAAATAGAGAGAAAGAGTCAGGAAAACACAAAAGGATAATTGCATTGTTGTACTAGAGCTTGATGTTAAAGGCAGATACATAGGAATTGCTGTGGCAGAGTTCATTAAAAACTAATTCTATTATGTAATAATATTTTGTGGTTCTATAGCAGTTACCAGCTAAGGATCTTGGAGCCCTCTGCAGGTTCCACCTGATTCTGGCAGTTCCTGCTGTGAGATGCATATATTATGTCTGTTTTCTATAGGCAGGGAAATGGAAACAGTCAGGCAAAATGACTTTTCCACAATTGCCTGTTGGGTCTGAGTCAGATCTGGGGTTAGAGCTGAGAACAGTTCGCTTTCACTTCATCCTACTTCAACCATCTTATAAACTTTCCCTTTTCCTGCTGCTTTTTCCCCAGTCATCTACTAGAGAAACATTGCAGTAGAAGGAAATGTGTCAATCACTGATAAAATTACTGCAAAGTGTTTAGAAAACCCTTGGGAGACCCCAGTCTTGGATGGTCCACTGTCAAAACGATGATACATAGAGTGGGCATCTGCAGAGATCTCTCTTGTGTTTGGTACTCTGAGTGTTTCCATTGTTGGACTGCAGGATGAAAGAGAATATGCACATATGAAACCTGCAAACCTCTCAAAATTGAGAGGCGCTGGGTATGTTGTGAAGATCAGGAATACAATGCAGAATGATTTTGGAGAATGGGAAAAATGGCTTGAAATGTATGTTGCAGTTCAATGAGGCCAAGTCCAAAGCACCAAATTCAGGCTGGACTGATGAAGTACCCAAATCCATGATGGGGAGCAACTAGAAAGGCAGAAAAAGGGACCAAGGCATTATAACTTCTCACTAGCTAACCCCTAGTCAACAGTCTACTGTTTCTCCAAAACAGTCATGATGTTTCATAAAAAGCAAACATCTGGAATGTATAAACAGGTGTAGCCTTTGAGATACATGAAGTAATTGTCTGATTATTCTGAGAATTAGTAAAAACCCTTTTGAAGTTTTGAACACTGCCCTTCGAGGAAGATGTGAACCATGTGGAGAGAACTCAGAGGATGGCAGTAAGAAAAAATCATGTCTAGAAAATTTGGCTCACAGAGAAAAGTTAAAAGAAATTGGAGGCAGTCTGTCTGAAAGAAAATACATGATTAACTTTTTGAAGCTGCTGCTTTTGATGATTTGCTGTATCCCTATGCTAGTGTCCATGTGGGTAGTTAGGTGCACTTTTTGAACAGATGACTATTTATTTGAAGAGAGCAGTCATAAGGATACTGGACAAACAAGTCACACTAACTTGCAATGTTTTAATTTGTTTTACCATCAGGTCAAACTGGGAGGAGAAGCCCCAAACTCCAGTGTAATCCACGTAGCCAAGGGCAGTGATGGCAGCAGTAGCAGCTGGAAGAGTGTCGGTGGCAAGTGTGGAACCAAATGCCACCTTCTGGATTTTGCCAACTCTGAGCGGCCACTGGTGGTCAACTTTGGTTCAGCTACCTGACCACCGTTCACAAGCCAGCTGTCGGCCTTCAGCAAGCTGGTGGAGGAGTTCTCTGGTGTGGCTGACTTTCTGTTGGTCTACATCGATGAGGCTCACCCATCAGATGGCTGGGCTGCCCCTGGAATCTCTCCCTCTTCATTTGAAGTTAAGAAACACAGAAACCAAGAAGACCGATGCGCAGCTGCTCACCAGCTCCTAGAGCGCTTTTCCTTGCCACCTCAGTGCCAAGTGGTGGCTGACTGCATGGACAACAATGCCAATGTGGCCTACGGGGTTTCATTTGAGCGAGTATGCATTGTGCAGAGACAAAAAATTGCCTACCTTGGAGGCAAAGGCCCCTTTTTCTACAATCTGCAGGAGGTTCGGCTTTGGCTGGAACAAAACTTCAGAAAAAGATGAAATCTGTTCTCTACAGAAGCTATGTCAACAGGTGTGTCCCTTTAAGGTGATGTAAAAGGGAAAAACAGAAAACATATGCTGGTTTGAATAAGGCCTTTCAGATGATTGCAGGAGAACACATTTGATAACAAGGTCAAATGAATGTTACCTAGGAAAAGAAAATAAAAAACTAACTCCACAGAAACATTATTGTATGAAAAAAATTCCACTCCTGCACTCACTACAGGACAGAAGAGGTGAAGAGGCTTCTGTGAAAAGGTGCTGCTGGCGAGCAGGAAGAGCGATGGGATAACACCCATCTCCCAGGAACCTGCCTGATGAAGTATCGGCCCTGGGGTGAGCCAGAAGCGTTGCTGGTTGGAAGGCAATCTATGGAAAGGCAATGGTGTGCATTTCATCAGAAACGCTTCTTTACCCTCCTGTGGCCAATACAAACAACCTGGGAGGAGCCAGGGGGTTTGCAATTACTTTGCATCGAAATGCAGTGGAATTGTCCTCTCCTACAGATTTTAGTGTTCAGAGACTACAGGAACCGCCATGCAATGCATTGCGCATGCAGACTGGCTGCTCATATCAAGATGAAACATTGTATGCTGGTATTTGTACTCTCTATGGACGCCTCTGCGCAGCATATTAACTATGTAATTCTATCTGTATGTTTGTATCCAGTATGCAGGCCTGTGCCTGCTGAGAAAGATGTTAAAAATCTATAGAGTTGGACCAAAAAGACAAAGGTGATCAAATAAGCCCGTTAAAAAACCTGGACTATTTGAAACAAAACAGCGAGAACCATCTAGAGCAAGTATCACGATACAAAACTCAGCTGATGCCAACCAACCCTCGGTTCTCAGAGCTGACAACACACAGTTAGCAGTATTCTCTGGTTCTCTTCTCTGTTTCTTTACCCTCTTTGATCTCTTTCTGTCCAGCAATAGGCTTAAAGGTAATTTCATTTTTAGCTTTTTTAAAAATAACTTATTTCTCTCTCTTATTTTTAGTTGAGATAATGACCTTACAGATGTATTTTGGGGATGGGAGAACTTATACACAATATTACCTCATTTAAATGGAAACCTATCCTGTCATTTACCCTGTTAAATGTAGTCATGGTGATTTTTGCTATCTTAAATACCTGCAACTAATTTATATCTAGGTTAGTTTGTCTGGAAGTTAACTTGTTTGCAGCCTCAGAACTAGATGATCATTTGTTTGTTTCACTCGTGTTCTCAAAAGCTTTCCCAGAGAAACAGGGAGGACAAATAGTGTGAATTAGTGTGAATAAATGTAAAATGGAAGAATTGTGATACGAATGGGTTTGAGGAATTATTAATTATGTTTAAAGAGATACTGCCAGAGTATACATTATGTTTAGGTATTTCTAAACCTAAAATTATTTAATCCAGCCTGATGAAAAGGCAAGTTTAAAATGTGCTAACCCATTAGAGCTGGTAAATGAAAACCCATAAGGAGATGGCCTGTCCAAGTTTTCTCTCAACTTTGGCAGAAACATGAGACAGATAAACAGGGTAAGTGGCAAAAATCAAATTAATTCTTATAATTTCTCATCCTACAAGTTGTCAGGAACATGATGTATTAATACTAATACAGGAAAGAACAGAAAATACATACATAAATATTTTCATTTTCACAGTGTCCCTTTAACATTGTGTATTTCTTCTTGCTTGGCTGTTGGTTAACTTACCCAATGTACAAGGCATTTGGAAATGTATTTTCAAGCACAGATCTGAAATAATGACAGTAACATGAGTGATTTCGCCCATATTCAGGTTCATGCTTCCCTTCCTTCTCACGTTTTCCTCCACACACTATTAAACCTATACACACACACACTTACACAGTTTGGTAATGTGTTTCAGAGAAGTGTGTAAAGACCTTCTGGTGAGCCCCACTTCTCAGACGGCATATGTCTCTGTCTGTGTGTGTGTGTGTGCATGTCTAAGACCAATAATAATTATTATTATTCTGTCCTCCCATTCATTAAAGTTACTGTAACTCATTGCACAGTGTGGAAGATTGTTAGACATTTTTGTGACTAACTGGGATATATAACTGAAATTTTTAAACCTAATATCATAGAAAGAGTAACGTAGCCAAAATACATGGTTTATTTAATCCAGTGTCCTACCTCTGACTGTATCAGATGCTTCAGGGGAAGGTGCAATAATTTCTTCTGGAATTTTCATTAGCTTCAGCCCTTATTATTTTTGTCTTACCTAATATGATTGTTGATGTCTCATCCCTATGAAAGGCTGATCCTGAGTTTTAAGACCTAAATATTTCTTGAGGTGGGAAATACTAAAATCAAAACCCATCATGTTTAAGAACAAAGAAAAACAAATAAAACCAGATTTTTTTTTTCAGATTTAAATTCGCTGCTTTTCAATGTCTTGCTCCTATATGCTAAAACATATAAACAAGAGTGATCCCAAATTTTCTTCTGTATGTCAGTGATTATATACTCTATATAAAATTTACAAAACTTGTTTGTTTCTTAAGCCAAACACTAATTCATATTCTTATACAGGTCCATATTCTTTGCCTGTCTCTGAATCTCTTTTTTTTGCTACCTTGTCCTTTTACTCAGGTGATTAAGCTGTACAAGTTAGTCCAAGTGAAAATATGTATTGGTATACCCAGCACAAGATCCTTTCCTATTTACATCCTATTCTTCAGTCATCTGAAACTTTATTAATCCATAGCGACTCCATAGCCTTTGTAAAACTTGAACTAGTAAGTCTTTTCTTTCTCTCATCTTTTCCCCATCATACAGTTGAAGTCTGAACTCTTTATTCGGGAAATGCTAGCCAAATGTTTAGCACAGCTGTTGAAACATACCTTTAGCTCAGAGCAAAGAGTCTGAGTTAGTAATTCAGTTAGTTAATACCCCTTTACGTATCTAAAGTTACAGTTATTTTTCAAGTCCATTTTCTCCTTCCTTTTGAATTTCCATTATTTTGTCTTGTTATTCATAGATGCCTGTATATCACACAGTATAAAGAAATTATAAAATTGGCTCCTGTAAATGGGAAATCCACAAGGATTTTCCACAAGAAAAAATACACAATAACTTCATTTCTTTCTTGGCAGCATGGATGCATTACCCTGCCCAAAACTTAAAGATAGTTCAGCCTCACTGATTATCAGGACAGAAATACATTTTGCAAATCCTTAAATTTCCCCAGAAAATTTGTTGTCAGAAAGCAGGGAAAGTATTTCAAAGAGAAATGGGCTTAGAGGAAAAAAATACCTTTAGTAAGTGGCTGATAGAATTACAACCTCTTCTTTTTTGTTTTTTGTTGTTTTATTCATAAAATTAAAACATATCCTAGAAATTGTTTTAAATTAAACTTCATGCATTGTCCTCAGTTAATGATAAAAGTGGCCATATGTGAGATACCCAAAGTTATTGTAACAGTGGGTGGTTTTGGGTCCAGGCACAATTTTTGCTACCTTGCTAGCATTGTACTTCACAATTGGTCTGGTCTGCTGTGAGGCTGGATTTGCTTTTGTCTCTTACTCTCACTGTTTGAGGGCACTAAACCGTATTACTTGAGGTGCTTCAGTGTGACATACATATTAAGCAATAGCTCACAAAATAGGTGCCTGAAAGTATTCTGGAAGGCTACTGTATATAACAGAGACCCCAATACTGTGTCTCAACATTAGTATGGGAAACTTCCAGTACTTTTTCATTTTGAGCAAAGTAAAAAGCTATTCTGGGCTATCATTCTACATTGTTCTGTGCTTAGCATCATTTATTTAGCACTGTATAAAATGAAGGTAAAGCATTTTGTACAGATGAAAACAATAGCATTTTGTTCTTGCTTGTGTAGACAATGACATGAATTTAAGGCAGGAGGAAAACATGCCCTATTAAAAAGAAAGAAATATATTACAAAATATATTGTTGAACAACTGTCTGGACACTTTGAAAAACAAAATGCAATTATTTTTATGAAGGTGATCTTGGTGGGAAAACCCACAAAGCTTCTCAAAACGGTATCATCAGTGCTATGCGTTCAGGTGTGTGTGGGGAGGGAGGTTATGTTTCTGTATGTGTGAAAGTGGCTTTTCTGTGATGTGGAGTGTAGGTTTAAGAGTTTTTAAGAATTTCATTCAGTACTATAACCAAAGCAATAAAAGGTATCAGGTAGGGAATACTGGCCAGTTTTGTTCAACTCTACACCATATCTGTGCGGGATCCATGTTCAGTGACCTTTGGGCCCAATTTGGAGACTGCAGAGAAGAGAAATTGGGGTGAGACAATGAAGGCTTGTGTGCTTATGAAGATCGCTAACAAAAGAGTAATTAACTCAGTTGGCGTTCAGATGCTCTCACACTGGCATTCCTCTGTGCACCTTAATGTTTCTGTATTTGAAAAATGGGTCTCTTTGGGGCCATTAAGAAGATCTCCAGGGTGTAGATGCCTGTGTGTACTGACTATGTGTGTGTCATTGTTTAAATGTCAAAAATATACTTTGTAGGAGAGCCAGCAAAATTTTGTTACAATATGGTGCTCCATGAGATGTGCTTTCTAGATTTGTTTTTCTTATATTATAATAAACAATAAAGGAAAATATACCTTTTCTGTGTCTTTTTATTGTAATATTGGTTATTAATACATAATGGAATCTTGACATTAGACCAAGGAAATGTAAAACTGTATTTAATACAATAGCCTATGCCACCCTGACTAGATCTTAAGCAATGTGACCAAACCCCTTTATAAATGGTAGGACTAAATTAATAGCTGACTACTCAACTTTTAAGAAAAATAAGAGGGAGAGAAACTGAGAACTGCAAGGAGAGCAGTTGAGTCTGCACAGAATTGCACTGTTCAAAAAAAGTATGTGCTTGAAGAAAGCATGCTGAGCTGTATGTAGCACATGAAACCTGGATGAATTGGTTGTGAATTCATCAGTTACACATGGAGCTCCCATTTCAGTGAACACACAAGAGGTAAAAGGTGAAAAATAAGATTAAAAGCACAGCTGAACAGCTGTTACAGGGGAAAAAAAATTAAA